GATGGAGGGAGCGGGAATATTGACCGGAGCGATTTTAATTGAGTAGCGCGGGGTGTATTTTTAGTAACATCTTCCGTGCGGGAGTAGCCAGGTGGTTCATGCGGGGTGTTGAGCATCGCCGTCCTGCGGTGCTGCTTCTTCCAGCGCATCTCCGAAACGTCGTGGGAAAGGCTGTATGATCGCTCTTGCAGGAAGAGAAAGGCTCTGGCAGAGAAGGGGCCCTAGGCAGATTTCGTGCCGCGGGGATGCTAACGGCATCTTTGGGGGTTAATTATGCAGCCGGCTAAAATAAAGGTAGCGGAGCGTTTTGGAGTTTCGTTCTGGCTCTGGGGGAAGTTAAAGCTCAAATTAGCAGTACCTGGCAGTTTGTGCTATGACTTCTCCTTTAAGGGACAGCAGAGAGTCCTTAACTTCAGCACCTGGGTAAGGACCACTAGCCTCGGTCTCCATTGCTCAGGAATAAACTTACTGGCAGATACTACTTTTTCTTTATGTTTATTGATTTCCAACCTCGTGAATGTCCCAGGGAACTGCAGGGGAGAATATTCTCTGAAAACTGAATTCCTAAAATTAGGAAAAAAAAAAAATCCCGTTAAATGCGTCAGGATGAGGTATTCACTAAGGAGGTAATAACTGTGATGCTTTCAATGCATGCCCTTTCTTGTGCTTGATTAGCCCAGTTTGTCTATGTAAATTATACCAGGGCTCTCTACGTGGTTATAGTTGAGCATGCATTTAAACAAGTTGCTGAACTGAGGCCTTGAGGTATACACGTTTGTGTCCTCTGAAGGGGAAGAATGTTCTGAGCATGGTCTTTGGTCAGTGAGATAGTTAATAGTAGTGAAATGTTGCCAAGTGCCTGCTTTAGTGGAATTGCGCCTGTAGTTTTCTGCCTTTCCTGGTATGCTGCAGAGGGATAGCAGAGGGCAAAGGCTTTAGAGGGTTCTTTTAGGCGTTTTGTTACGTAAACCCAAGTTTATCAAAACCACAAGATTCTCTGTAGTGTAATAAATAATAAGATAAAACATAAGGCAAGATTAAGGACCCTTTTGTCTTTGCTTTCTTTATTATAGGCAAGGGTTTTTTTCCAGCAGTAGCTTCAGTATCATTTGAGTTCAGTTTGCAGCTGACTTATCTACACTTCAGCCCTTAGAAGAACTAGAATTGTAGCAGTTGTTGAAAAAGATACAGTCCCTTCAGGAATGTTATCTCTGAGGAATTATTGGTCTATCTTTATATAGATATATAAGTATATATACTTTTAAAATGTTTCATCCTTTCTCCTAAGTCTGTAAGAGGTCACAGGACATGCTTTGATTGGTGGCTGTCTTTCTGCAAGCTTATTTTTTTGGCTTGCTTGCTTTTTCCATGCTTGAAATACATTAGGTATCATTTGCAAAGCTGTATTTCTTGTTTTGTAGCTACTCCTTAGAGCTGACCTTCATCCTATATGTGTAAGATCAACTGAAAAATCCCCAAACACTTTCTAAACTGAATGGAGATCAAATCTCCTGTCCTGGAAATCCAGCTACCTCTCAGGTGAAACATATCAAGGAGCAAAAGGGATACAGTTGTGTGTGTATGGGGCATGAAGTTGTATCGAAGAAGAGTTTGCCCCTGTGGTGGATGTGGCAGAAGGCTGTGAGTGCCAGGTTATGGTCTCTTCTTGTATGTTGTGTGGAACATGTTGGGGTCCTACATTCATGAAACCAAAGGTGTCCAAAGGCACCTTTGCTCTCAGAGAAGCTTTTCACACCTTATTCCTCTTGCAGTGTAGTTTTGGCTCAGCTTGCCTCCTAATCGCTGGTCCATCTTCCTGGAGCTGTGGGTTTCTGGCCCAAGGGCTCATAGGAGAAGACATTCAAAGTCTGCAGTTCCCATAGGTCAATATGGTTTGGAGACCCAGGTCTTTCCTCCAGGGAGTCTGCTCTGCGCACGTCAAAAAGGATTGATGGAGTAGGAGAGGGCACAGCACTCATCTCTGCTTGAAGTGCTGAACAGGGTTAATTGCCAGACAGAGGATGGAGGAGGATAATGAGATAAGACCAAGGGAGGATGCATCTCTGTCTGGTTGTTCTTCTCAGAGATATTCCTGATGCAATTTTCAGGAGCGGGTCAAGGTCGGAGCCTAAAGTTCAGAAACCTGAACATACTGTTGTGTTTCTGAGCTGGAAACAGTGACTTTCCCCAGACTCTGTGGGACTTCACCATTGGATTCAGCTACAGTGGACTCATAACCATGCAGAAGGACCTGAAATTGCATCCTCTGAGCTCCTTTAAAGCATTGTAAGACCATTGGCCTCACAAGGCTTTGGTTCAAGTCAGTTTGAGTCATTAACGCCAGGGGTGCAGGGTCAGTTTTGGAGCAAAATCATGCTATCTTTTGAGGTTTGCAGCTCGTGGTGGCTCCTTGGTGATATCTTTGAAACCTTGTTGGGGGATGCTACTGTTGTTCTGTCTGCAGAGAAATGCCCACTGGGAAATGACCAGGATGTAAAATGATGCAAACACGGACATAAGGGTGGGTGTGAGGGAATGACACATGATGGACTGACAGCTCTGCAGGGACGGGCACGACATTACCATGAATGCAGACTGACAGATCTCTTCCTGGGATGTCCAAGTGCCATGGGACATGCCGGAGCATCAAGAGTGTCAAGGACCAGCCAGGTCAGCCAACAGGCCTGGAAAAAGCAATAGTAGTGTTTACTGGGTCCAGCGCGGTGAGATGGGACGCGCTGGAGGATGAGTGTTGAGCTTGCCAGAGACTTTCCAGTGAAATATTAATGCTGTAAATTTTCAGTTCATTCAAAATGTCTACAAGCCTGTGCCAGTTCTGATAGTGCTTTCCTCAGTGAAGCTTTTCTGCATCCCAGCAGAGATTCTTCTCAAAGTGAGGAACCACTCCAACTCCTTGGAGATATCCAGTAGCCTGTGGATGATTTCCTTTCTAGTAATATGGGTAGCTCAAGTTATCCTGAGCTGAGCAGGGTCTCCGAGATGGGTTTCTCTTCAGAGCTGCATCAAGTAGCTGGGCTGTTGGAGGCCTGCCTGTGGTTGTCTTACAGGAGTTCCGATGTTCCTTAGAGCTAATTAAACATTAGGCATTGAAGCAGGGAGCTGAACCTGTATCTCCTGCAGCCTCCCACCTACACTTTCTTGGGCAAGACCTGTCTCAGAGCTGCGAAGGTCTGGTGACTCCATGGTCATTTAGTCCTCTGCAGGTTTGTTGGGGTTGGAAGTTGGTTCCTGGGGTCTCCCGCGGCTGTGGCCATAGCTGTGCGCCTGGGGCTGGCAGCTGTTTGCGAGACGTTGTGTGCTGACCAGGTGCTGTGTAACAGAGGGAGAGCACTTGGGCCTGGAGCCAGCACAAACGTCTCCGTTATTTAATGGTTTGCTCTGGTTTCTAATGCCAAATCTTTGTCCCTGGCACCGTTCTTGTTGACTTCCAAAGGGTATGAATTTGGCACTTCATTCACATTAATTTCTCTTTTTTTTTCTTTTTTCCCCCTGCTCCTACTTAAAATAACAGCAGATCAATATATTGAATTTATGTGGCTGATTTGATCCTAAAAGTCACTGTCCATTTCCAAGTGGAGAAGTGGGCAACCGAAGCCACAACCTGACCTTTCCTACGCAAGAAAACATAGCAAACAAGTTACAACGCAGTTCGTGGACATCAGATCTCAACTGTAAATCATGGCTTTTTTGAACAACACTAATGCATGTTTATGGGAGCGATCTTTGTTTTGAAGGCATAGATTAAGTGCCCTGCAGTGCAAAATACCTAAACATGTTTATTACTCTCACCTTTGGAATAGAGACTACAATCATGTTTCATGGAGGAGGATAATATAAGGAGGAATACATGGCGAAATGTAACCTGGCCTGGCAGGATCTCAGAATAAATCATACGTCTTAATTAACTCAATTCTTTGCATCATGCACTTATGCATAATTTAATGATATGACTCCTCCTTTCTTAAAAATTCTTTTTCATT